AGTATATTTTTAGTATTATTAGTATTTAGTATATTTTTAGTATTATTAGTATTTAGTATATTTTTAGTATTATTAGTACTTAGTATATTTTTAGTATTATTAGTATTTAGGATATTTTGGTATTATTAGTATATTTTGGTATGATTAGTATTTAGGATATTTTGGTATTATTAGTATTTAGGATATTTTGGTATTATTTGTACTTAGTATATTTTTAGTATTATTAGTATTTAGTATATTTTTAGTATTATTTGTACTTAGTATATTTTTAGTATTATTAGTATTTAGTATATTTTTAGTATTATTTGTACTTAGTATATTTTTAGTATTATTAGTATTTAGTATATTTTTAGTATTATTAGTATTTAGGATATTTTGGTATTATTAGTATATTTTAGTATGATTAGTATTTAGGATATTTTGGTATTATTAGTATTTAGGATATTTTGGTATTATTTGTACTTAGTATATTTTTAGTATTATTAGTATTTAGGATATTTTGGTATTATTTGTACTTAGTATATTTTTAGTATTATTTGTACTTAGTATATTTTAGTATTATTTGTATTTAGTATATTTTTAGTATTATTTGTACTTAGTATATTTTTAGTATTATTAGTACTTAGTATATTTTTTAGTATTATTTGTACTTAGTATATTTTTAATATTAATACTTAGTATATTTTTAGTAATATTAGTACTTAGTATATTTTTTAGTATTATTTGTACTTAGTATATTTTTAGTATTATTTGTACTTGGTATATTTTTAGTATTATTTGTACTTAGTATATTTTTAGTATTATTAGTATTTAGGATATTTTGGTATTATTAGTTTATTTTGGTATTATTATGATTTAGTATATTTTGGTATTATTTGTACTTAGTATATTTTAGTATTATTTGTACTTAGTATATTTTTAGTATTATTTGTACTTAGTATATTTTTAGTATTATTTGTACTTAGTATATTTTTAGTATTATTTGTACTTAGTATATTTTTAGTATTATTTGTA